CGGCACCTTTGGCGTTGGGCCGTGTTATCACAATGGCTGGAAAGTCTGTCTCCTTGGAGTATTTCTGCCTCGCCGGTGCAATGATTGCATCCAACGGCTGGCTTGATGTTCTTCTATTCTCCACCACCCGTCATGTTATTATCTTCAATGCCTCCCCAGACTACGAAGAGACGGGTATCGAGACTTTCGCCTTTATGCGAACACCGGCTAATCGGCGCTACGGCAATATGGTCTGGGTACAGGGCGCCGGAAGTGCGCCTAACAACCTGTCTGCGGATGAGGGTACCGGCGGCTGGCTCTGGAAGCTGTTTCACCGGGGACGTGGTGCGGGTGACTTGAAGCGAGATCGGCGTCGCAGTGGAGCACATCGGAGCATCAGCCAGGAGTCTCTAAGAAGACGAGCTGGGCAGATGGAAGGCATCCAGATGGAGACAGTGACCACGGTCGTTGTAGAGATGGAAGGTCACTCGGGAGGGAAGAAGGCCAATGGAAGGCCACTTTCAATTGATACAATTGAGAAAGAGAGGGCACAGAGTGTTGGCAGCATGTGAAAAACACCCTTTCCTGGTAGACGCAAGAGCCAGTTGTCGGCGTCCTGATTTGAGGAGCAATGACTGGCGTCGGCCAATCTACCGATCAGGTTCATGGAGACCTCGGGCTCTACATCTCAATATCAGATCTTATATGTCTAATGGGGAGGCAACTTCTCAATGTGCTCAGTTAACGACAGCGGGTTGGGCTTTGGGCGGTTATCTGTATTAGTTATACCCATAATGTCATACGTAGACTTCATTTATCATTACTACTGCTTCATCGTAGCCGATATCTACCTAATTATGCAAGACCTATACTCTCTACTGCACAATTGTTTGTTGCTATCATCTCCACTTACGAACGATAGGCCCAGTGAAGCTGAAGTAGTCAATATCAATGTCGCATCATTGATCATTGCATGCAGGAAAGATATTGTCCACTCGCATCCGTACACTATTGCAGGACAACTGACCCCACCAAGCCAAGATAATGTACCTCATATGGAAAGAAACATCACCTCAACCTTCATGTATTTCACTCGAATAGCCTTATGGAGTATCTACATTACTAATCACTTATTGCCAAGTTTAGAACTCTCAGAGTAGTCTTAAAATCTAGATAGATTTAATGATCGTTCATCAAGAACCTTACGTGCATATAATCTTGACATGTCACATATATTTTAGCGTGTCAAAAAGAGTAGCTAGAACCCTCATGTTTTCCTATGAAACTTTGATCATCCTTTGTGGCTTCCGGACCACCGTGCAAGAAAACAAGGCCAGTCGCTGATCACATTCGACATATGACCCTACATGTTGTTCGGATGAATCGAGATGTCTAAAGCATCTTCCAAAGTTCTCTAAGGAGTTGTACATAAGGCGAGAAGAGACGCCCTTCGAAATGAGATGAGACTACAGCACAGGCAACGACTACAACATCAGCCTATTTCGCGGGGTTTTCGATCACATCATGATACCACAAAATACCAGCATACATGCTTCAAACTCAGAGCTAATAGATAGTGGGGATCTTCACATCTTGAATGCGCCGTCGCCGCGAGGCAAGACTGCGAAACGTGCGTATGGCGATGCAGGAGCCTTGGAAATCAAGGACAAAGATGATAAGTCCAAGTCTGTACTCAAGAACTTGGAATATCTTAACGGCGAAGGGATCAAAGACTTGCTCAAAACATCGGACATTACCTCGAAAGGATTTGAATCATTGCGGGATGTTGCCAGATCCCTCCCGATTCCAACATTCATCAGCACACATGAGCTCGGCGAAGACATGAAAGACATCAATTCAACCCAGAAAGCTCTAGCCTACTTTCTCCAGATCACTAGCGGGGTCAAATACCAGGTTTGTCACCACGTGGGCGCGGTTGGCTGTGATGTCGACGAAGATGAGCCTCAAAAAGTGCGGACGATTAACTTTAGGCTGGCGAAGAATCATGGTTTAACCGAGAAAGACACCGAATCCATGAGGGTCTTGCAAGACTTAATGAACGGCAACAATTTGCGAGCCAATGTTGAACTGTTGGCTCTGAAGCACGTTGTCGGCCGGGTTCTCTATGAGGTCAAGATCGAATGCCAAGGCTTGCAGAGACTCTTGGGACTTCTCGCCTCGCACACTATAGCCGACCAGCCTTTTGGCGAGGACTCACTTGAAGTGCTCAATTGGCTAGCAAGCTTCCTAAGAGCGAAAGAGCCGCCGCAAAGTAATGAAGAACAACGGAAAGCTAACCCCTTCAAACGAGCCTGGGAACCATCCGATGAAATCACAGAGAACGCCATCACCCTCTTGGGCATCAATGAATCGATTCATGGACTCCATCAAGCATCGAAAGCATCATGCCGCTTGTTCGAAGGAAGAGGTCGTGAACAGGCTGAAGACGAGATTCGTGGAGAGATTCGTGAGTTCTTGGAGCTAACAGGTACGCGTATGAAGTTCTTGGATCTTAACACGCAAAAGCTAAGCCGTTGTTTCTATTCCATTCTGAGAATTATTGCCGAGCCATTGATAAAGCTGAAGACCATTGCCAAATTCTTGCCAGAACAGCGCCAAAAGTCTCTTCCGATGAACATCAGCGTCGAGTTCCATCCCTTTGCAGCCCCTTGCAGCCCCGAGGTCCCTACCATACAGGGACCCATATTGAGACTGACGCACTGTGAAATGCAGGTTCTTGACTACTACATCCTTCAGAGACGACCGAAAAACGGGAGTCAAGCAATAATTTCACGTATAGGTAAGTACAATGAGATCTCCAAACTATGCTGTCCTCTTTGTAGCATCGTCATGCGGACCATTCCGGAACTGTTCACTGTTGAAGATAATCATCAGGTTTTTTCGCACCAGTGGATGCTACCTGGATTCATGTGTTTAGACTCATTCAAGCAGCACCTGAGTGGTTTCACCGAGGTCCTCAAGGCTTGGAAGCAGTTGTCAGAGGAAGAACTCAAGTGTTCGGGGGTTGAGGTAGGGACTGGACCCTCCAAGCGTGGGAAATCCCTTGCACGATAGATACCACCAAGGTACTAGGATATCAGCTTGAAGTTTGTGTTACACGACGAGAGCCATTTATTATTCTACATTTCATCAAGGTAGCGCAAGGAATGTGCTGGTGTTTTACGACATGTAAAAGAAGCGCTTTGTAGAAGAGCCACGCCATCGCGGCAAGGAGTTCTTTGAATAATGGTCTTCTAGAACATGAATGGTTCGTATGGGGCTTGCCATACCTACCTACTTAGACTACTAGTAGACAATGAACCAAGCCCAAGGGAAGAAACCAAGCCAGCCCCGTACGAAACCAGAAGGTTCGGCAGCTCTGCTGTGTGACGGTAGTAGTGAACAAGCTTGGGGCTTCAGCAATTGACCAACAAACCCACCATACTCAAACGACTCCTTATGAAAAACGCCATTCCCAGGCTTGCGAGAAGATCTAGAGGCTTTCTCCCGAGAATTCATATCCGACATGAATTCTTTGTTCTGACCTTCCACTAGAACCCTTAATCATGCTAGCCAACTTGCTTCTTCAGTGGTTTATCTATGCCATCGCAAGCCATGCTGCTGTCATGCACGAATTCAAGGCCTCAAATCCATGGACCAAATTAGCACCCAACTCCAGCCGGACATCATCTTCCTCAATCAGACACCTATCAACTCTCAAGTTTCCCATAAAATTACCTCTGAGCCTCTCACCTCCAGCAGGCACGTCTTTCATCCAACCAGAGAACTCAGACGACCTAAGGCCACGAACCCAACGTTTTGGATCTAGGAGGCCATTCTCTACCGCAATCGAGCCCCGGACAGATGAGTCGCCCCTCAAGCTTTTCCCAATCGAATGCAACAACCCTTCTTACGAAGAATACGAGAGCCACCGAGATGTGCACCACGACGGCGTCGACAAGGGCGTAGAGCGATTCTGCGACTCAAACCTTGCACGTGATACCATCACTATCGTAGACGATGTCCAAGATCACCCCCTTCATGCCTGGCGATGGCGCTACAAGGATAAATACGGGGTTTACCTGGACTTCAAGGTCAACTGGAAGGTCGGATGTCGCACCTCCCAAGGTTTCCAAGATATCCAGCGGCCACTTGGTCCCGATGGACCGTCTTGTGACGATATCATGTTAGCTAACTGGAAGCATTGTAAGTCGTTCTCTTTAGGTATCTGCCGCAAGTCGTTCCTTGAAACCCTTACTGATGCTTTGACCCGCAGGTATCAATGGTGGGATTGGCGGAGTTACGCAGGTTGGTTGCCTCGTATTTACTCTGAACGCCGGACGAAGCGATCGATATTATTAAGGACTTGAGGACTTACATTGGTTGAGTCACCCTCTTCTCAGGATGCGATGAAAGTGCACTAGTTCATTCTCTGTGGCTATACTTTGTACACTCCTAATTATCAGGGGTTTTGAACTCGGACGTATATATAGCCCAATCGATCCCAATAAGATTATGACGAGTACTTCAAATAGTCGAGGACCACAAGAGACGTATCGACAAGAGATGTACTCTTGGCCAATCTGCGTATGCATGACAATACCGTAGCACTTGCAGTGACGATATGCATGAAACATCCTACACTACTAGGGTACGCTTATTATGGAGGGAACCTGGTCTTAGTGGAAGACGATTTTGAAATACCCGATTATTTGGTGCCGCTTCACGAAGAACTTCCAAGATGGGCCAAATCGTGCCCTTCAAAGAAATTAAGACGGGATATCAATGAAGCTTTTGTGTTCATGTCGAAATTGACTTACGTTCGCATCTATACAGCAATATCTACTACAATGCAACTCGACTCCATCAACGGCATGGTATCATGTACTCGTCTTAACTCCATCCCATTCTCAACCGGCCGATCGTCCTAGCGATGTCCAGATTAGGGATTATCCAAAATATTACACGAATTGTATCGTCCTTTTCTCATGGCGGGACTGTGTGTTCAGGGTATGCGACTATCAAACCATCAAGGCCCAAGCAAGCGCACCGGCGATGGCACCACCGGCAGAGAAGACAGCACGGCCAGCGGCGTTGACCTCGACGACGGTGTTGGTGCTGGTAGGTCGCACAGCAGCGGTAGTGCCGGTAGGAGTCACTGGAATGCCAATGTGGGCACCGCCGTCGACGGTCCTGGACGCAGTAGAAGGCTTGACGCCGGTGCCGGTGGCAGTAGGCGTACCAGTCTCACTTTCAGACTCCTCAGTCTCGGAAGCGCTCTTGACGGTGACAGAGGGCTTGGCGGTCTCGGACTCAGACTTCGTCGCGGATGTCTTGGTTTCCGGAGCGGACGTTGTGCTAGAGATGGAAGTCGATGTCGTGGTGGGAATGATGACCTCCTTGCTGCTCGTCGTAGTGGGCTTGGGCTCCTCCTTGACTCCGCTCCACGGCTCGCCGGTCTTGGGGTCGCGGTACCAGTTCGAGGCCGGGTCGCCGAGGCAGTCACCGATGGTCGTGAACTCGAAGCCCTTCTCCCTTGCCGTATCGATCATGAACTGGACGAAGCCGTTGACGGTGAAAGTGTGGATGTCGTGAGCCAAGCTGATGAAGGAGGAGCTAGCGGGGCTGGCGCCATTGATGGCACCTGAGAAGGTAGCCTTCGAGTTGACACCACTGTCTACCCAGTCCTTGGTGTCAAGGTTGTAATCGGTCTACGCATAGGTGTCAGTCTTAGTATCAGACAAGATACGACACTGCGCGTGCAACTTACGACATGGTACGCGAAGTCGTTGAGTGTAGATATACACTGGCCATCGCAGTGGGTGTAAGGCGGGCGGAAGTAGGTGGGAATGAGGCCAAGGGTCTTGGCAAAGACTTCCTCGTTCTGCAGAACCTCTTGAATTTGTTGGTCCTTGGAGATTGTGTTGAAGTCCTTGTGACTCCAGGAGTGACTTCCGAGCTGGTGGCCTGCGCTCAACATCCGCTTTAGGACGGAGGTGTAGGTTCCACTGGCGATGCCATTGTTTCCGTTTGTGCCAACGAGGAAGAATGTCGCCTTGATGTTGCCGTTTCTCTCCAACGTGTCTAGAACCTGGCTGGTGTATTCTCCGGGACCATCGTCGAAGCTGAGAGCAAGCTTGCCATTGACTGTGCAGTGAGTTATATCGACGCCGTATGGGACATTTCCGAAGCGCGGGCGGGGCAGGTCTCGGGTGTTGAGAGCAGATGATGACTCGAGAGGGGCAGCCGTCGCCAAATCGCCAGAAGCTACGATGGCTGCGAGAAGGGAAAGAGAATGTACTCTAACAAGCATTTTTGCGGTTCGTTGGTGTGGTGGAAAGCGAATGACTGTGAGACGGACGACCAGATGGATTTTCACGAGCTCGACTCTGAGCTGTGTGGGAGGGCTACACTTATATCTGAACCCCCGTATCCGTGTGCTAAAAGAAGAATCATCCGGACTTCTCATGTACGAGAAGCATCGGGGATTAAAGGAAATGAGAGTGCTGGGCTAACCCGTCAAGCGTCGCGTGGAGAAGGCTGGGCGAGAGGTGATCCCAAGCGGCAGTGTCCCGTCCGTGTGCCGCGCCCCCAACGGCCGCGGCCGGGTTCTCGGGCGAGATGGAGGAGGCAGGTCATAGTGAACGCTAAACTCGCGCCTATTCGGACAACAAGAAGCAAGGGGAATAGCCGTAAGAGCGCGGTCTGACTTGCGACTTGCAAGGTTGGGTGCCTGTTCGTGAAGTAGAGGGAGGCTACGGGCTGCGGCTTGATGTCGCAAGAGAGACGGCGTGTACCAAAACCGGCCAAAGGGTCGATGCGCGGCGCCAGGACCACGTCTACACGGGTAAGGTAGGGGCCATATTGCGGGGATGCTGTTGGCAAACAAACATGAAGTGAAAGAACAGCGGCTTTCGGTGTGATCGTCACAAAGGACTCAGACGAAGAAGAAATTAGAGCCAAGAAGATCGTGTTCGAAGTCTTAGTCAGGGCTTTGGATTCTTAGGCTTGACCTCGGTCTCCAGACACATTTGCGAGGCGACCCCTGACTAGAAATGGGCATGAACTGGTAGAAAGGCGACAATACGAGCATTGGCAAATCCCAACTGGCTGGATGTCAAGATTGCAGTCCCCCGCGGTCTACGCCCCAGGCACTTGGCAGCAGATCCTCGGGTTCCTTTTTTAACCCACAAACTTGTACCTTTTGGGATGGCCGTAGGTAGATAGTTTGGGGCTTGTAAAGAGGAGGGACTTTGGAGGCGGTCAGCAACAAATGATTTCGCCCAGTTTTCTCCCGTGCATTGGGAGGCGGCGGCTGAGGCGCAGGCCCACCCCAATAGGCCTTAACTCGTTGAATATGGTGTGCTTTGGATACGCAGCGCTCAATCGGGGTTTGAGGGGAGCCTGGCGAAGTTATCCCGGCAATTTTCTTCTCGAGAGGGTATGATGGGGCGCGAATCTTGGCGCAATGGGGTCGCATGAAAGGGGATTGACGCAAGGGACGCGATCTGTGTGATTGGCCATCAACATCAGCCATCATCGCTGTCGCCCATCGTCGCATTGGGGTCTCGTTCTCTGCCGCCATCGGGAGGTAGTATTGCGTTGCGCTGCGTTGCGTTGAGGCGCCAGAATACGCGCAGAGGAGCTGTCTGTTCCCCGAGAACACCGCACTGCGATGTGTTGTGTATGGTACCAATGGTGCAAAATGGACGACTCCCGAGCACTAAAGGGGGCAAGGGAGACTGAGCGACTTTCCAACTGACATTGCACTTGGACCAAGAAAGGCTTAGAAGAGCTTGGGGCGACGACGGCGTGGCTGGTCTCAGTCTCGTTCGTTGCCCTTGGTTGCGCCGTCCGTACTAGCTCCGGCTAGAGTCGAGACGAGCTATGGATTGGTGGCTTCTCCCATTGCTTCTTTTTTTTTTGCGCATTGTTTTTGTCATGCTCGACCAAAGGCCCCTCGGCCTCTTCTGTGGCCGTCTCTGCCTGTGGTCTGTTTCTCATCTCCGTAGTGTCTCTTCCTCCTGCTGTGCCGCAAGCCGTGAGGGTCTCCGGAGTTGGCCCCCGCAGTCCGTCATGGGCGCCGGCTCACCCCCGGCCTCTTCGATTCCGTTGCTCTCTAGAGCGTGGGGAGGACGAGTGGGTAGGGAAACAAGCGACCTTCAAGTTTCAACTGTCAAGATACTCCTCCAAGTCGTCGTGTCTCACGTCAGATTGAGGTAGTTAGGTAATCTTATGGATAGCTCGATCTATTCTCGTATTGGTTCCCTATTGACACAGCCAACAAGAACAAGATCAGGCTGCGACCCTTCGAGACAGGCACACAGGATGTTTGCGACCTGTGGACTGAGGTTTGGCAAGGTCACGCGGAAAAGCGCATTCACAGCTAGGTCGTTTCCGACACCAAACTAGCCCGGATGCCTATGTAGCTCCCAGGCATAGGCAAGACACTAGGCTCTCAGCCAGTACAAAGCAGCGTAGCATTGCCATGGATGTGATTGGTTTCATCAGCCTTACCACTGAGGAAAGGGAACTGCAATGACAATTGTTGCCTCTCTCCATCCTCTATTCTCACTGCTCAGCGTGTGCAGTTGGCGTGGGCCATCCCCAACTTCTTCCAGCCACCAGCCATCAACGCACGTGTATTCCAAAGAACAAGTCGGGGGCAGGACCGACGACACATGGACTTCGCACTGTCGCTCCGGCAAAAACCTGCCGTGGAAAAACAGCGCGAATTGACAATGCGCCGCACTGCCCCGTGTTTACAGCGTCACGCTTCTCCGAACCCGTCTTCTCATCCGGACAAGTGACTCTAGCCTGTTGCCAAGTGGCCAAGGGGGGGGAACGGCCCATCACCACTTGGCAACGACAGGGTATTAAGCTGACTGCAGGAACAAAGCTTGCTGTGCCTTGCAGCTGAGACCAGACCTCTTTTCCCGGGCGAATTGTGAGGCCATTTCTGAGGAACATGGAACATTTCCAGCACCTGCCATTGCTTATTCTGCTCTGTTAGGATTCCCTATGTTTAGGGCGGCAAGCCCCGTGCACACCGTCACCGTGCTGCCATCGATTGTTTGACAAAAGCATCAATTCATTGAGAACGGCCTTGTTGTTCAGACCTTCAGACCAGTCCAGCCCTATACCTCCTCCAAATCTTCGATGCACTGAATGCTCACAAAACGTGTGGTTTTCTGGCGTACTCTCTGGCCATTACAGCACAGGCAACCTGCTTTCTGTTTCAGATCGCTACCGAATTCATTAGGGCCATCTTACCTCGCAAGGTCGTTCATCACCCCACCTATCTTTCACTTCTCGAGCCTGCAACCCGCCGCTGATCATAATCCCCCGTTTCTTCTCAAGTGGAAGCCTTGCAAATTTAGAGCAGCCTATGAGACCATTTACTGCTGCAAAATTCTTACTGCATCCCGCACCGACTCTCACTCATCACCGTGCCATGGTGAGACAAAAGCAAGGCAAAGTTGTGACTCTCTAGGTGCTCCTTTTCATACCCTTGTCCGCTTGCAATCTACGTTGCTCAGGACTCACAACATCTAACGCGGCAGGCACTATTAAGCCATGGAAAATATGCCAGTGTCCGTTCTTGATGTCCCCAATGAATCAGAAAGTGGATCAGACCTGTAACTACGCTTCATGTCTCCTCACTTCTGCCGCATCAGCAGCGCAGTATTATCATCTCCCAATGTATCTGCCAGGGGTGGGACATCGGGTTGACATGCGCTTAAAGTGGGTGAGTGGTCACCTGCTGGGAATAGGCGTGAGGCGTCGCATCCTGTACCCCAGTAAGACCTGTAATAAGGGACGTCCTCTGAAATCTCCTAACTTCCCTGCGCTGGGCTGTGCAGCAGTGAGGTAATCCTTCTTCAAGGTCAGACGGATGCCTGCTGTGGTCTGAATCCTTTTTCTCCAATTTGCGGCGCTCTCCTGTTGATGGGTTGCATTAGCCAGGCACCCGCGAAAAGGCATGTCAGTCGATGGATTGACATTTCGCGCACTGACCGAAAAAGCCGTTCGAACTCACAACGAATCGCTCATTTTGAGATGAACAACTTAGCTTGAAACCGCCACACTTACTTTCTTCTCCTGAAAATCGAGTGGCTTGCATGGCTTGATCTCAGTTTCCCGTTGAGTGTGGTTAAGTTGATGTCAGTGGACGGGCCGCATCATTGGATTTACCTCATCAATTCAGCAAGCCGATCAAGCATTGGTGTTGCCACTCTGTCATTGGTGAATTTAAGGAGAGAAAAGGAACTCACTTTGTATCAAGAGCGATGAAGGTAACTCTCAAATTATTAGTATAATTAGCCGGTCTCCACGAAATGCCGCAATCCAAATGAGCAAGCCAATATCTACTTGAAGTCCAGCGTCGGTTAGTTACCTTACTTGTATTTGGCCCCGCTCAGTGTTTGTAAAGTGATAATACCTGATTTCTTCTACTACCTTTTGAAATTATATTCGGAGAAGTATGACACTAGAAAGAAGTCGAGGGCCCAAAGCCTTCGAAGATAGCAGCGTGGGGCCAGGACAGCATTTTCATCTTCTTAGGATTACTGTAGACCATCGAATTGCAATATCAATGCCTCGTCAGTAAATTCGAGTAGCAAACTCTTATAAAAATAACCAACAGGAAAGACACAATCTCAGAGCTTGAGGCGATACCTGAATCCTAGGCTTCCAACTTTCGTCCACCAATTTCAGTCCTCCGTTGCGTCAATAGCAGTATCTCAGGTGCCTCCTGTCGAGCCGTAACCGCGAATACATGCGAAGCTTTGTATTTATTTGACTAGTAGTGATAGTTGAGTGCGTTATAGTACTGATGTCCGTAATAATTCAGGGAGAATTATCTCGACAGTTTCAAGTTGACCACTAGCGTTGAAGTCGTCGAAGGCTTTCAGTCAAACACTGGCTGGACTTTCAGAAGAACAGTGCGAGCATTGAATGAATTCTCTCAAATAACTTGATCCGTAAGAAAGCTTTGGACATGACCTAGTACCTTATTACCGTAGCGCGACTAAGGAAAGTGGAAGTTGGGGCAATTATGCCCATACTTGACTTGATGGGGATTTGACTTTACGGCAGTTAGCTTTTACATTGCTTCACAGAATCCGTTCAGTGTATTACGTGAAACACGATTACAGCTTCTTTAGTATGAGTTAGTTACAATAACAGTAACTTCACATCTATTCTTCTGCAATCCGTCATAAGAAAGGAACCGAAGCTACTTTTTCTGATACGAAAAGGTGAAAGCTCCAGTCCGTAAACTTTTTAGCATAGGCTGAGAAACCGCGTTTACAC